AAAAAATTCAAATAATAATAGTACCTAAATTTAAGATTATTATTTGTTAATAATAGAAGCTTTTGTAATGTTAATATCATGAATAAATAGTATTATAATATTATATTATATACTATATCTTTCCATATCAAAAAATTTCTTCTTTTTCATCAACAGAAACTGCTATATTACTGAACCACTCCAAGCTATGAAATATATTAGTTACTCGAATAATATCAGTTAATTTCACATAAGCACTTGAATATATTTTAAAATACGCAAATTCTTAATTATATAACTTATCATTTAAATTAAAGAACTTCTTAAGTTTTGTTTAAAGATTTTTAAAGTCTTCTTGATATAGTCGATGAATATCAATATTTTTTAAAACTATTATATCTATTTCAGTTATTCGTAATTTTTATAGAAGATTTCAAAAACCAGAATCTTTTTTAATAAATGATATTGGTACTTTTTGTGCAGCTAAGGTCTTGTATCGTATCTATAATAAAATATTAATAATAATAACTATTAGTATGTATTGATAAATATTGATAGATATTAGTTTACTATTTTTATTATTTGTATTATATAATTCTTTTTGTTAGATATCTAGTATGGATTTTTAACATTTTTCTTATGAAAAGTCTCAAAAGTCTTGATAGATATTCTATTTATCGCTCCATAATATCAGATTGCAGAAATAATATGATATCAGAGTATATGATTCTTAGGTATTTTACATTGGCTAGGAGAATAATCTGCAAACACACTCATAAATTCTTGACAAAAATCAATGATCAATACCAAAATAGTAATCTGTATAACTATCATTATATTTTATCATTATAGCTGAAGCAACATAATAAAAACTTAACTTATCTTCAGTTTAATTAAATCATCATTAGTAAATAATTCTTGACAAGTTTTCATATATATTTCCATATACTTACGAAATATTTCACATAATCTCTCACATGAAACTTCATTATTCTTATATTTGATAAATAAATTATCTATTATAAAAATTATCACCTTCATTATATTCTGATAATCATTAGCTGTAAATCATAATATATTTTCTAGGCTATTTTTTATAATTACAAGTTCTTGATATTGGGAAATTACACATAGTCATAAATCCATTTTCTTAATAGTTGCCATTTTTACTTTTTGTTAAATATATGTTTGGATAAATTCTAAAAGATACTTTAAAATATCCAAATTAAGCAAATGCATTCTATCAGAAACTATTGCTTCATAGATATTAAAATTACTAATATAATTAATTAATTAAATAATTATGGTTAATATTGATATCAATCAATTATTAAAAAGATTTTGTACTAACCTAAAATTCTATAAAAAATTATTCTCATCATGAATCAAATATTCTTTTGATTATCCTATATTAATTATTACTTGTATTTTTTCTGATATTTGGAGAATTATATTAGATAATACTATATTATTAAGATTATTATTAATCATATAACAAGTATAACAAGATCACTTAGATATTGATGGAAGATATATTTTAGTAAATAATTCAGCTTCTGTCATGTTTGCGAGAATAACTGAAATTTTAGATGTAAAGATATACATTTAATCCTTTATAATAAAATACATATCTTGTTAATCTAAGATAGATATCAATAATATATGAAAATACTGTTGAAAGACTCATCTTTGTAATTATCAGAATGACTCAGTATTTTATGTATATATATCTTTAGCCTTTAGTTTTAGTAAATATCCAACAAGTATCTTTGTGTAAGACTTACCTTATCACCAATTAGGAATATTACTATTCTGGATCAAATCAAAATTTGGTCTATTCTAAAACAGTCCAATTATCCCCTGGCTCATTTCATGATTTTGACTTGGGCTGACCCATATCAAAATATTACAATGTGATGTGTGATTTTGTTACCCAACCAATATTATTAATTGATACAATTATTATGTTTATTAGATAATCATAAGAGCAAATAATAATAATAAAGTTAAATATTTGAATGCAAGCTTTTATTACATAAGTTGTTCATGACATTCTCAGATATAAAAAATAAAAATAAAATAAAATCATGTAATCGTTATGTAAAATATTAGCAGGTTGTTTTCGTGTCTTGTTTTCATTAATAATAAATATTAATCAAATAAATAAGAAAGAAAAGTTTATAAATAATAGCCAATAGTCCCGTTAAATTTTGAAGTTGCTTGCTAAACTTTACTATATTTCAATTAATACTATACTAAAAATCATATTTAATTTTGTCTCTGTTGAAATATTTAACCATATTCTTGATGAGTATATTACTTTATTGCCATCGAATCATCAAGTGAAGGCTTTAATTACACAGAAACTTATTGATAAAGCCAAGTCAATTTTATTAAATAAAGAATCTACAAGTGATAAAAACTTATGCTATTAGTCATGCAAGCATTTCTCAACTTTGGAGATAAATGATATTATACAGCTAATAGACAAAGAGTTATTAAAAGTTGTTTATCTAAAAAATGACTTGTATAATGTTATTGGTTGATTACATCAAGAATTACAATATGCAGGCTATCATAAAATATACAAAGCTGTAGGTTGGATAGTTAAATTAATGTCAATATCTATTATTACTTTACTTAATTAACTGCAAATTCTTTCCAAAGATCATTGCTCAATATAGCTACATACCTTGTGTTGTAATACAAAAGTTTGTTAATATATGTAATATATGCATAAATCACCATCAATTATTAACATCATCCACTATATGACCTATAATCATACTAGAATTTATGACATGTCTACAAGTAATAATAATAATTTGCCAAAGTTAATTCAATCTTCTTCTAAATAATTAATTAAAAATCTTGTAATGTCATTTTATTATAGATTGATCTAATAGATATATATACAAGGCTAGATGCGAATTATAAGTGGATTATATATGCAAAAGATTACTTTACCTGATATTCATGGGCTTGTCCACTTATCAACAAGAAAGCAAAATATGTGGTAGGCTTTCTATTAAGTATTTTTACGTAATTTGGTGTACTAATAATTTTACAGTCTGATAATGGAAAAGAATTTGTGGTATCTATAATAAAAAAAATAATTACACTTTGGCCATCAATAAAAATAATTAATGGTAGATCATGCCACCTCCAATCATAGGAATTAATTGAAAAAGGAAATGACATACTGGAGGTAAAGCTGTCCTCATGGCTTGAGGAGAATAAAAAAAGTGATTGGAGTACAGGATTGCCTTTTGTGATCTGTAAGGATGTAAAGCAATAAACATTAATATTATTTAACATTATTTAATTTATACCTGATTTTATACTGTAGGGGTAATTAATACATAAGTATGTACTACTACTAAACAAACATCTTACCAGTTGATATTTGGACAAGCACCATGGAACATATTAGCTCTAGTTGACATGTTATTCAGTCTAGGAATTCACGATAAAGAGAAATTGTCTGACAGCATGATTGTAGATAATGGTTCAGATCAATCTGTCAATGATAATGGAGAGAGAGCAGTATACATGAATAAGAATATGACTACTGGGATAGAGCAATCTATAGGAGATGATAGAGAAAGAGATATAAGTAGCAAGCAGTAGTCAAAATAATGCATTCTGTGTAATTACTAATACAAACATAAATTTAGAGTAAAAGAGAGAATATGAATACTGCAGAAAATACTGCCAGTATTGAAGTTAATAGTAGAAAAATTACATTGTTCTTAACTTAAGAGTATCGATTATGTTGCACTTTATACTTATACATATTATGAATAGATGAGACAAGATGGAATCATACTGTTTTATGTGAGTTGACAGTCCAATAAGTTCAGTGCAATATGGACTTGATGAAAAATCTTGTGGATAATAAGAACAAGAAATGATAATTAGTATTTAATATTGATGATTGTATTCGAATTAACATTCTTAAAATAGATAGAACAAGTATAGATAGAAGATCACTTTCCTGTAAAGTTCTGAAAGTTTTAGATGAAGACTTGTATCATCTTGAGTGTGCTCATGATGTCTTAGAAAACTGCTATCAACTATATGAAATGGAGAGCATTAATGCCATATTTACTAAACTGACAAAAATACCTAATAACAGAATATCACTCATCCAGGTAGCAAGACTTCAAAGTTCAGCAATAGTATAATACTCAGTATGTTACTATAAAACTAATTGTAATACTAACTGCTGTTCTTGCAAGAGATCAGATGTTGAATGTGGCTCTAGGTATCATCCTTTACAGTCAAAATGTATAAACAAGAAATAGCATTTTTTAATATTTAACTTTATTATTATTATTTGCTCTTATGATTATCTAATAAACGTAATAATTATATTGATTAATGATATTGATTGAGTGACAAAATCACACATCACATCAAATAATTGGTATAATATTTTAATATAGGCTGACCCAAGTCAAAATCATGAAATGGGCCAGAGGATAATTGGAACATTTTAGAATGGGCCAAATTTTGATTTGATTTAGAATATTACCAAGTGAAAGATATATAGAATATTTTGTTATTTTTCCTAATTGATCACAAGTTATTACATCAGAATAAAGAATAATCAATAGTAATTAGTTATCAAGAGGTATGGTCAATTCTGTTTCTTTCTATCACTCACTCTCGAATTATTCATCATAAACCTATAATTTCTGATCATTTTTAATCTTAATTTTTTTTTGATATGATAAAGCGAATTCATCACTAGCTCCAGGTTGAAGTAGAAGAGCTTTAATGCTTTAGATTATTGATCAGTAATAAAAAATATATTCTATTTCTTGAAAATTGGTTATAGGTACTTCTTTAAAATTAAGGTATGAAAATTTAATATTATTAAGAAACTCACGACTCTCTTTGGTACTTTTAGGTAAAAGACTTTCTTTTATGTTAGCACTTGCATTAAACTATTTAATTATTTTATCATCACAGATATTTGATAATTGATATTTTATTATAAGTTCTATAAAACTATAATAAACTTTGTTTAGCCACTTAATCTCTTGTGAATATATACAATCATTAATAGCATCATCTAGCAATATTCCTTTAGAGTCTTTCAAGAGAATTGAGAATGGAATTGTAAGATTAGATATTTCTTCTATATTTGTAAATGTCATTCTCGATTCCAAATTATCAGAGTAATTTAAATCCTATAGATTATATAATTAGTATATTATAGAAAAATATTAAATAATGATGTATTGCATTATTTTAGTTTACCATTTCTTCATACTCTGATATTATTGCCATTTCTT